CCCAGAGACAGACAGACACACACACACACGCACGCGCGCGCGCGTGCACACACACACACACAAACACGCTCTTTATTTTTTTTTCTTCTGGAAGAATTTAAAGCACATCCCAGACATCATATCATTTTGCCATTAAATACTTTAGTATGCATCTTTAACTGATAAGCTTTTTTAAAACATAACCACCATTGCATTCTTAGCTGATTTCATGATGAGATCAAGCAGAATTTAGCGGTAATCAGTAGTGGAATGCTTATGCCAAAAATGAGCGTTTTTATGCAAAATATTAAACTTAGTCCAATTCAGCAAGTGTGTTAATGTCTTTTATGTCCAAGGCACTGCATGCATAGCACAGCCAGATGAATGAGGTGGGTGGTCCCTGACCCTGCAGAGAGTCCTATACAAGGTCCATAAGACATGTATACATATAACCGAAGTTCAAGGCAGTGTTCAAATAAAATCCTTAGAGCACAGAGCCTGGCGGATGGTAGAGTCTCTGTGAACGTTTGCTGAATAACAAGTGGAGGTGTGACAGGCTGCCTGAGTTCAAAGGAGGCATTCTCTGTTAAGTAGGAGGGGCCACATGGAGGTAGCATGTACGTGATGGACGTTGAGGACCAAGTACAATCTCTGCAAACAATTTTATAAATTGTAAAACAACAATAAAGGGAAACTTCCACACATGCACCAAAACAAAGAAGAAATTAAGGACCCACCCATACTTTTACCATTCTGACATAATGGAGTCATATCTTTTCTAGGAGTATAAATCTAAAGTCGACCTCCAAAGGCTGGTGGATAGTTCAAATGACCTTTGAACATCTTTTAAATCACTAGAACCTATGCCTTGCAAGTTCACAAGCTAAGAAGCCACTTTGTTTGTCTTTGCATTAGCACCCTCCTTTTTGGGGCCTAAGATTTAATTTTCACAAGAACGAGGAGACCAAGCAGTCAGTGAAGAGGTGTTGCTCTCCTGCCAAGCTGGAGTTCCTGTGACCAGATGCACACAGGCTGCAGCTCCCCTGCACCCTCCTTTCTGTACATTTGGAGACGCAGGATTTAAACAGCCATATGGGGGTGAAGGATGAGTAGAATGGGAGAATCTGTTCAGTCATTTATTCAACAACTAATTGAGCAGGTGTCCCCGGTGCTGAGGCGGAGGGTGCAATGGGAAGGAAGGCAGAAAGCCTGGAAGCCTACCAGGTGATTAGGGAATGGTGAGGTGTGTTGTGCGAATGGAGTCCAGAATATATACAAGAAGGCAGTGGGCGGTGGGCTGGACAATGGGTTAGGCTCTCATTACAGGGGGCTTTGCATATCAGGCTGGGGATTTGTTTTTAACTCAATCGGTGAGAGGAAAGGCCACGGGAGGTTTCTAGAACAGATGACCTGACAGTTGTGTCAGCTTAGAGGTGGGTTGGGAGGTTACTATAGTAGTCTTGGTGGGAGGCAAAGAGGGCCGGGATGAGGGTGGTGTTTGTGAGGTTTTCCCTTTTATTCACAAATATGTATAGAGCACCTACTGTGTGTGTGGCCTGGAATGGGAGAAATGGAAGAGACATTGGGGAGGTAGAATGTGTGAGACTTAAGAACCCTCAGAGTGGAGAGTCGCAGGAGGCAGACGTTTCCAGCAGAGGTGCCTGGGAGGGTCAATGGCGGGAGTGTGGCAACAGGAACAGTGATTGGAAAGTTAGGAGGAGGAGCTGGCTGTGTTTGTTTGGAGTGGGGTTTTAGCTGTGTGCACGTGTGTATGAATATATGTGTGTGTGTGTGTGTGTACGTGTCTATGTGTGTCCATATTGGCAGAGGCGGGTGGGAGTGAAGTGAATTAGATCGCTAGTGTGCTGTGCATGAGATGTCAAGGAGACACCAGCTGAGGTGCCTGGAACCCAGCTCTGGGCCGGTGTTTGTATCTGGAGCCCAAGGAAGAGTTGGGCCAGAGCGGGGGCAGCTGGGTTCCATATCTGGGTGAGGGAGCTTGGGCGTGACCAGGCCAGGGCAGGAGTGGAGCAAGCTGCCCTGGTGGTTGGTTCGGGAGCTGGTTATGACCACCTTTTCCATGTGTCCGTGGTCTGACCACTAATGAGTCAGTCAAGTCACCACTTCTCTCCCATCTTTCATGGTAACTTGAACAGCTTTTGTTTTCCAAGTGCCACTGTGGAGGAATATGCTCAGGGGCTGGCACTAAACCATGAAGGGGTCAAAGGGTTTGTTATGAAAGAGTTGGTAACTGATAAGGAGAGAAATCCCCGTGCATCACAGCGTTTTGAATTGCGCTGGTCAGCCGGGCTGAGGTGATGGCCCACAGGGAGCTGTCTTCCTGGGTTAGATTCCCTGTGGCAGTAACTGTAGTCATGCCAGTCATGGCCTTCAGCATTCCTAAAAGTCACAGTGCTAGTCAGTGGTACTTAGAAAATACTAAGGTGAGAAGTCAGGAAGTTTCGTTCATTTGGGAGATGAGGGAGGACATACTGGAAAGATGGTCTAAAGGATGCAGCCCTGGGTTCAGATCTGACACTTTTGAGCTGTATGGCTACGTTATTAACCTCTTTAAAGCTCCGCCTCCTCACATATGAAATGGGAATGGTGAATAGTGGTTCATAAATATGTACATGTGTATATGTGTTAGACATACATACATACACACATGTGTACCAGGCACAGTCTAAGCACTTTTATGTATGTTTTAGCTCTTAATCCTCACAGTAACATTAGGAGGTAGTTACTGTTGTTATCCCCATTTTTATAGGTGAGGCACCGGAGAGGTTCAATAATCTGCCCTAGGTTACACAGCAAGTGAGTGGCAGAGCTGGGATTCAAACGTAGTCCAGCTCCAGACCCCTGGCTCTTTACCACTGCTCTTTACTGCCTCACGGTTTGTTGTTCAGGTTAATGTGGTAACACGCGTGAAGGGTCTTCGAATTGTGCTCAGACTGGAGTTGGGTCTCAGTAAGTGGTGGTGGCTGCTGCTGCTGAGTGGGGACTCTTGATGGTGCCACAACTCCAGTTGGTCCCGATGGGCCTGGGAGGATACACACAGGCTGTTCAAGTCTGTCCTTCCACATTAAATGACCCTGGTTGTCCTAGTCTGCTCCCAAGTTGCTGTGCCAAGATCCTACATGAGAAAAGGTCTAAAACCCTGGATGTGGTGTAATTTGGGAACACCTTGTCTCACCCACCTGATGGTAGAAATACCTTCCGGTGATGTTTGTTCCGAGTCAGTTGTTGCTAGAGAGGCAGTGTGGTCTGTCAGCGTTCTGCCCAGGAGACGGGACACCCCCGGCTGTGCAACGTTAGCACACTCAGCTGTAGAATGAGGAGGCGGGATGACATTCTAGCAGCCTGGGGCATTTCTCTGCAGCGTCCACATCACGGCAGGGCGTATTGGTCTGACTTTATACTGCACAGGGTCCACCTCACTTGCAATTAAATGCTTGTGAAGATGACATTTGAGGGAATTAGAATTTTGAGTTCTTTCCATTTTTTGGCCACTGAATCATTCTTGGAGAAGTCATGGTGTTATGCATTTCATTGGAAGTGTAAATCATAAAAGAACAGTTCCTTGACCTCAGCAGTTTATACTCTTGTGTGAGTCATAAATAAAAGCAGCGTTAAATAAAACTAAACTGTTGGGTGGAGGCGATGTGAATCAAGATCGTGTTGGCAAATGGAAGGTTCCATTTAGCTAGAATTCCTTGCCTCCTAGAAGGCAAAGTGCTACGAAAGAGAAATATAGCCTTTTCTAGAAGCCTTAGCACTAAGGCAGCAAACATTTATTGAGCGCCTACTACATACAAGGCTGTGTATTTGGAACTTTGGGCTGAGACCTTCAAGCAAGGAGTAATAGAGACTGGGATTACTGCTATACAGGAGTACTTACCTATGCGGCTTGTGGGGGCACAGAGAAAGGTGTCACACTCTGGGGACCCAGAAGGGGGCACAGAGGAGGTCACACTTGAAGAATGAGTGGAAGTTTGCAGGCAGTCAGGACGAGAGGGCCACTGTAAACATGTCAGCACAATGGTGTGAGTCTGTGGTGACTGGAGAGCTTCAGATAATTAGTGTGACACAGAGGGGGTAGGAGTAGAGGAAAGGAGGCGACAGAAGGTCCCAATGCCAGTTCTTTGGCAAGTGTGGAAAAAGGCCTTGGGGCCAGCAAAGACAGAAGTGTGGAGTTGCAGAAATGGGTTCAGTGGCAGTGGGGACACTAGGAGAGTGCTGGCTTTTCTCCCACCTGTCAGAATTTGTGGATGGCAGGGAAATGGGGGGTAATACATGAGCAGGCTTTCCTAGAACTAGGATCATAGTGAGCTGGCCTCAGGGTTGTCAGAACCGTATGGGAGAATTACATATGTCATTTGGGAAGTTTGAGAATGGAGGTGTTTGTTGACCACTGAACCACAGATTCAGCAGAAAAAGTCAGAGGACCAGAAAGTGAGGGTGAGAATATGCAGGGATAATAGTGATATGAGGGCCTTGCATTTGGGGCATAGCCAAGGATGGCAGGAACCTGAGCCACGGCTGGGTTGATTGGCTTCAAGTGCTAGAATATGCTCTGGGATGGAGTTTCCCAGTGCTGCTCCAGTGGTGACTTTGGACTTTCTGTGGGCGCTGCTTGGCATTCCAGAGAAAACCTTGGTGGAGCATGGACACCAAGCTTTAAGTCTTAAGAAGTCCTTCTCAGAAGACTCTAACCTCCTGGGAAACTGACGGCAGACCCCAAGCATATGGAAGGCTCAAGATCAGGGACATTTTGCTCTGGCCTTTGGGAGGTTTTCTTGAGGGGCGTCAAGGGGGCAGTGTTGTACAAGTTTTGCAATAACAAACCCTCATGGGATCCTTCCCATCCCATGCAAAGACTTCCGTTTCTATCACTATAGTTGGTAGCACAGGCATTTAATTGTCAGGACAAGAGTAGTCCTTGTCTCTTTCCTTTTGTGAGTTCTTGATATGTTGCTCCGTCTGATTTTGTTCTCCTGGCGCCTCTCTGTTTTGTTCAGAACCAGACTATCAGGTGTACCTGAATGCTTCTAAGGTCCCCGAGTTTTCAGACGACCTCACAGAGCTGGAATGCCGCATAGTGGATAAGAAGAGCATGGAGGCAAATGTCCGCTTTACGGTGTCCTGGTACTACAGGATGAACCGGCGCAGTGACGACGTTGTGGCCAGCGAGCTTCTTGCAGTTATGAACGGGGACTGGACGCTGAAGTACGGAGAGAGGAGCAAGCAACGGGCCCAGGATGGAGACTTTATTTTTGCTAAGGAGCATACGGACACATTCAGTTTCCGAATCCAAAGGACTACAGAGGAAGACAGAGGCAATTATTACTGTGTTGTGTCTGCCTGGACCAAACAGCGTAACGACAGCTGGGTGAAGAGCAAGGATGTCTTCTCCAAACCCATCAACATATTTTGGGTATCAGAAGGTAGGTGCCTTATTCTTATTCATTAACGTTTTTGTTGTGTTGTATCTTGGATTAAGTCATCCCACTGTGTTTTCACATGCACAGTCACCCTGCAGGTTTTCATTTACGCTAGAAATCCAAGAAATGTGTGCTGAAATGACTATTGCTTTTATCTACAGCATACACCCCTTTAGGATGATGCTGCTGGAGAAGGGTAAGTCCTGGTGAGACCTGGGGCTTGGTCAGTGGTAGAAGGTCATTTTCTTGTAGGAGTTCACAGTGTGCATGGGGTGAGCCCTTGACACTGCTCCACTGGGTGGCCTTAGGCCAAACCTCACACAGGCCTTTGAGGGTCTGTCTGTGCCCATGAGTTCCCTCTGGCTGCAGGCACATTTGAGGTGCCACAGAGAGGGAGTGGGCAGCTACAGGCCATTGTGCCTGCCCTAAGGGGCCAGTCGTCTATTCAGAGAGATTGTTTCTAGAGAGAGGTGACAAGAACTTAAGGGAATCCATTTGTTTGCTGCATCTCCTTCTGAATGCTCAGAGCACTGTCTGCCTCCGGACGTCAGACTCGTCAAGTTTTTTATCCCTGTCCTTGTCTTTCAGCACAGGAATCCCAGGGCTCCTAGTCCTCCTTCATGCCCTGGATGTTAAGCACCATCTGAATGCCTCTCTTGACTCATTGCCACCCCTCCTATATTCCCAAACCCCAAACTGGCCCTCTAGAACTCAGCAAAATCTCTGTTTCCTGAACCTCATCTCTGAATGTTCCTTTCTCTTTCTCTCGTCAAACACTGCCAACCTCACTCTTTCCCCTGGAGCTCTCCTGACTGATGGTGTTTTCTTCCCACGCTCTTCATATAACTGGACCTACGTGGGGCAGGTGCCCTCCTTGTCCCTCACTGCAGCTTCCAGATAATTTTCCCTCCTTCCTAAAAACGTAGCTCCAATCTCATGTCATCAGATCATACACCTCCTCTCATTGACATCACCTGTCGATTCCTAAGTCCTCCGTGTTCATCCTTTGAAGAAGTCAACTTCTGTTTCATAGCCGCTCTCTCCAATACACCTCCTGTCTTGCCAGCTTCACTATCTGTGTATAACACTGGATCACACCTTGGCTGCACATTGGAGTCACCTGAGAAGTTTTAAAAAAAATACTGATGCTTGAGTCTCACTAGAGGTTTTGTCTTAACTGGCCTGAGGTTTTATGCAATCTAGGCATTGGCGTTTTTAAATGCTCCCAAGATGGTTCTCGTGTGCAGTAAGGTTGAGAACCCTAATATAGAGAAACCTTTCATTCTCAGTTCCTTGTCCTTTTCTCTAGTCATTATGGCCTCTGTCCTGTTTTTCCTGTTTTGGTCATTCACTCCCTTGCTCACACCCTACACTAGACCATCTCACTTCTGATAACAGAAAGCACCCCCATACTCTCAGTTCCAAGCAACCCATCCTCTAAACATGGCTTCTGTCTTTCTTGATTACTCCCTCTGGTTCTCCAGCATCAACCCTTCAACTCTACCAGGACTGACAGTCCGTTAATCCTACCAACTTTTATTGTCTTTCACTCCCATTGTGTCTTCACATCTCTCTTACCTAGGGTGACCGTTTGCCCAGGGTAGTCCGATCTATACCTGTTGTCCTGTGTCACTTTTCAGAGCACCCTCTTTCCTTCTTAGATGTGTGCAGTGTGGGATGTAGGATCAGATACGTAGTCACCATACTGTTACCTAGCCTAAATTCCGAGTCATACTCACTCCCTTGAGCACACCTTTAGCTCCCTTGCCCCACTCTCAGTCTGCACTATGCTCTGGCTAAACAACAACTCTGTTCAAAGCGAACCGTCTGCCACCTTCCTGCCTGCATCTGCAGAGCTGAATGTGGTTACAGAAAAGCATCTGAACATGTTGACTGGTCTCACTTTCAATCCATGATCATGTGTGTCAAGTGGGCTCTCAACACTGCCTGGGAATCATTCTGCATTTCCTTACTCTCCAAGATGATTATTGCATACCACCTTCTAGCTCTCTGAAAACCTCCTCTTCCAGCCTTGTTCTCGGCTGTTGATCCTGCTATTTCCCTAAAAAACCAGAAACAATCCAAGGAAAATTTGCACACACTCTACCTCAGCGGCTGAACCTGTTACTCAGCCACATGTCCTAGCAAAGGCCAGTGCCTCTCACTACTCAGACACATGGCTCCCCTCTCTGATGCCTTCTATAGCTCGCTCTCCTGGACCTCTCCCATTGGCCTATAAATATGCTGTTACATCTCCTGGGTTTTTTTTTTTAAAAACCATGCTAATCTTGATCTTGCTTCCCCCTCCATCCTTCTTTTCCCCACGCTTGTTTGCCCACCCATCACTCTCTTTTTCCTTTGATAGCCGAAGTAGTCAATGTATCTGTACTTGATGTCCCCAGTTTCTCCTCGTCTCTTCTTTCTGGTACCTACTCTAATCAGGCTTTTGCCCCCACTGCTCATGTTAAGATTACTAGTTGATTGGCTGATTCCAAAATCCAGTTGTTAGTTACGTTCTTAGCAGGATTTAACAGATGATCGTTCCCTCCTCCTGGAAATACTTTGCTTTTTCCTTGGCTGATAGGACGTCACCCTCTCTGGGCTTTCCTCCACACTCACTGCCGTTCTTTCTCAGCCTCCTTGCTGGTTCCTCTTCATTTTCCTGCCCTTCAGATGCCTCAGGACCGTGGTCCTAGGACTTCCTTCTGTTTAACTTCACGGCCTTGGTGATCTCTCTAATCTCATGAATTTAAGTGCCGTCTACACACCAGTGACTCCCAAATTTATGTTTCTACCTCAGACCTCTTTCCAGAACTCCAGACTCAATATTGTGTTGCCACTTGTCCACTGGGCGTCTCAACTGTTCAGAATGGTGCTTCTGGTCTTCTCTCGGCCTTCTCTAGCACTTTTGTTCTAGTTGTTGAGACCAGAACCTTCATCTTTAATTCCTCGTTCTTCAGATTGCCTTAGAATCTAACCCCGTCTCACACTCCACTGTTAGCAAGCCACCATTGTCACTGCCTGGATTATATCACCAGCCTCCTAGCTGGTCTCCTTGCTTCTGCCCTTGCACATGACGGCCAGAGCGATCCTGCAAAATGTAAGTCAGATCGTGAAACTCCTCTGCCCTGACCTTCTCACTCAGAGCAGAACCCAGCCTTTCAGTGGCCTCGGATGCCCTCTACCAACCGGCCCCCTTTACCTTCTTTTTTTTTAAGATTTTTTTTTTTTCCTTTTTCTCCCCAAAGCCCCCCAGTACATAGTTGTGTATTCTTTGTTGTGGGTCCTTCTAGTTGTGGCATGTGGGATGCTGCCTCAGCGTGGTTTGATGAGCAGTGCCATGTCCACGCCCAGGATTCAAACCAACGAAACACTGTGCCGCCTGCAGCAGAGCGTGTGAACTTAACCACTCGGCCACGGGGCCAGCCCCCCCACCCCCTTTACCTTCTGACTCACCTCTACCCTCCCCACACCCACTCCGCTTCACCTCATCTGCCTTTCCCATAGCTCCCCAGATACACCAGGCAAGCCTCTGCCTCATGGCTTTCTTCTGCTCTTCCCTCTGCCTCGAATGCCGTTCCCGTAGGTGGATACAGGGTTCTTTCCCTCACCCCCTCCTCTCCTTGATGCCATCTCAGTGAGGCCGTCCCTGGGCACTCTGTCTCAAATTGTGACCCCACACTGACCCTGCACACTTTTTCTCTTCTTTTCCTGCTTTATTTTCTCTTAAACTTTTATCACCCTCTAATCATACCATCTATTTTACTTTTTTATTTTGTTCATCTCCCTCCACTAGCATATGAAAGGGGGATTTCTGTATGTTTTGTTTCCTATTGCATTCTCAGTGCCTGGAATCTGGGAGGCTCTCCGTGGTACTTGTCTAGTTAATGAGTGGATCACCAAACCCACAGAAGATCAAGAACGAATGTGGGTGGCTCAGTGCAACCTCAGGAATCAGTGATTCTGGAGAGACTCTGTAACATACGTGTGCTGCTAATAGGTTTGGTGGAACAAACATTCCAAAAAAGCCCAATGTAAACATTTTATTTTACAGCCCGCCCTGATGGCCTAGAGGTTAAAGTTTGGCACTCACCGTTGTGGCAGCCCAGGTTCGTTTCCTGGTCACGGAACCACACCACCTGTCTGTCAGTTGTTGTGCTGTGGCAGTGGCTCACATAGACGAACTAGAGGGACTTAGAACTAGAATATGCAACCGTACACTGGGGCTTTGGGGAGGGAAAAAAACACAGGATGTTAGCTCAGGGTAAATCTTTCCCTGCAAAAAAAATTAAAATAAAAACAAACTACATTAAAAAAATTTATTTTATGATTGGATGGATAGGCTCTTAATCATCTTACTAAAGGATAAAAGATGTGTTTAATTCATTTATTCATCCATTCAACAAATATTTAAGTATCTTCAAAGTACCTGACATTGAGCTATGAGAATATAGATGAATTCTACTGTGTATGTGCTTAGGGATTATTTTTTTGATAGAGAAGTGGGAAGTCACACACTTAAACCTAAAGTCAGTGTAGCCATGCACACTTGCTCAAAATGGCAAAACAGCATCTCTGTGGAAATGACTAGATCCACAAGTGTGTATGCTCCAGTCATTTTAGAGATAATCTGTTCTGTAATGTTGCCATCATATGATTAAATGGAGAGAACCCATTTCTCCCTTGCTCTGCTTTTCCGAGCAGGCTGGTTAAGCTAAGGGTGCTTTCCTTGTACCCAGCAGAACCTCAAAGGAGGAGAGGCAAATGGCATCGGCTAGAGCCATGTCTTCCCCAGTTCGCTAAGAGAGAACTCTCCATCACATCCTTGGAGGCACCAGTAGTTTCCCAAATTCTCACCCATCAATTCCCTCTTCCCTCACCCCCATGAAATCACTTCGGACTGCTCTGTCTCAGCCAGTCTGGTGGTTTTCAGCCTGCTTACAGATACGCCTGATTTTCTCTCTCAGTTTCTAGATTTTCTTAAATGCTATTGTGTTTTGTGTGGCAATTTGCAAATTCCTATTTCCTTGACATTGTGCTTTCAGATGCATATTCATTTTAACTAATCCTGTTGGAAATCACTTCTTTCTGGTACTTCATTCCAGATTCCGTGCTTGTGGTGAAGGCGAGGCAGCCAAAGCCTTTCTTTGCTGCAGGAAATACATTTGAGATGACTTGCAAAGTATCTTCCAAGAATATCAAGTCGCCACGCTACTCTGTTCTCATCACCGCTGAGAAGCCTGTTGGGGACCTCTCCAGTCCCAATGAAACCAAGTATATCATCTCCCTGGACCAGGATTCTGTGGTGAAACTGGAGAATTGGACAGATGCATCACGGGTGGATGGTGTTGTGTTAGAGAAAGTGCAGGAGGATGAATTTCGCTATCGAATGTACCAGACTCAGGTCTCGGATGCAGGGCTGTACCGCTGCGTGGTGACAGCCTGGTCTCCTGTCAGAGGCAGCCTGTGGCGGGAAGCAGCAACTAGTCTCTCCAATCCTATTGAGATAGACTTCCAAACCTCAGGTGAGCAGGGCCCCTGTTGAATCATAGATTGAACTAGAAGAGACGCTATAGGGTTTTGATCCAATGACAACATTTTTTTTAAACAACTTTATTAAGATATAATTCACATGCCATACCGTTCACCCATTTAAAGTGTATAATTCAGTGGCTTTCAGTATATTCACAGAGGTGGTGCAACCATCACAATTAATTGTAGAACATTTTCATTACACCTCAAAGAAATCCCACACCCCTTAGCTGACACCTTTCAGTTCCCACTCCCCAACCTCTTATCCCCCAGCAAACACTAATCTACTTTCTGTCTGTATAAACTTGCCTGTGTGGGACGTTTCACATTAATGGAGTGTAGTATGTGGGCTCTGAGTCTGCCTTCTCTCACTTTAACATAATGTTTTCAGAGCCCATCCGTGTTGTAGCATGTATCCGTATTTTATTCATTTTTAGGACTGAATAATATTCCATTGTGTGGATATACCACATTTTCTTTACTCATTCATCAGCTAATAGCCATTGGTGTTTCCAGTTCTTGACTATTATGAATAATGCTGCTGTGAACATTTGTGTACAAATTTTTGTGTGCACATTGTACCATCAATCATTTCGACCCTCTTTTTTTTTAATGGATAAACCGAATCTCAGCTATTTCAAATCCTTTAGAGAACGTGGCAGAATATAAATAAAGAGAGGAGAGAACCGAGCCTCCATAGGGTTTAAATGAGTTGCTGAAAGTGGAAGACTCAGAGCAAAGACCCTAGTCTTATCCAGGCCTGTGGCTTTCCCTCTTAGAGGTCCCTAGGACTGAAGGTTGTGGGCAGCATTTTTGGCCCAACTTATCCAAGCGTATTTCCATATAGAGGCTGAGTGTCCCAGTCTTAAGGCCTCACCTTTCTTTTTGGATTTCCTATCAATTGGTCAAGTTGCCGGAGCTGCGCTGGTGTTGATGAATATGTCTGTCAACCTGGTTTCTTAAGAATACTTATTAATGGTGTTCATCTATGGGTAGGTTAATTAAAACAAGGGCATTTTTATCTCTATTTTGAATTGATTTTATCTTTGGTAAGTGAAATATTTTTATGCTATAAAGTGGAAAGGTCCACTTTTTTTAATGGCATAGATACATATTCTCAAATAGAAATATTCCTTATTCATCTGCATAATTCATTAAGCGCCTCTGACAAACTTGTCTGTGTATGTGTTTCAGCAGGTGGATGATATAAAAGTTTTTGATCCCTGGTCTTACTTAGAATATGAAGGTGAAGGATCATCATTTATGAGTTTAAGACTGAAAGTTTTTCCCTAAGACTTCCCTGGGTTCCAATTAGAAATTTCTGAATGTGTAAATTCATACTCACCTATAAAAATTCAGGTATTAATTGAGTCACTGCAATGAATGCAAGATATTTGTTGAATTAAATTATTACCATTTATGTTAAAGGTAAACTAGACTGTAATAAAGTTTGTTTTCTGTTGATGTTATCTTGTATTATTATAACCTCTTATAATTTAGAGTCAAATAGTCTTCTGACTTCTTTTAATCTCTTAACCTTTAGATTAATAAAGAGTAAATATTGATACAAACCCTTAAATTTGGAAAAAGCAGAGAAATCACAGGCCTCTTTTATTGTGTATCTGTTTTTTAGTAATAGTTTTATTGAGATACAATTAATCTATCATAAAACTCACCTGTTTGTCAATCAGTGGATGAATGGATAAACAAAATGTGGTATGTCTTGTACAATGGAATATTATTCTGCCATAAAAAGGAATAAAGTACTGATACGTGCTATAATATGGAGGGATCTTGTTGACTAGTAGAGTTTTTCATAGACTCTGGCTACAAGTTCCTTAACAGATATATGATTTGAAAATATCTTCTCCCACTCTGTAGTCTTTTCGCTTTCTTAATGGTGAGCCTTGAAGCACCCAAGTTTTTAGTTTTCATAATTATGATTTTAATTTACCTATTTTGTTTGTTTCTTATGTTCTCGGTGTCATATCTAAGAAACCATTGCTAATTCAAAGTTACGAAGATTTATGCCTATGTTTTCTTCTAAGATTTTTATGGTTTTAGCTCTTATATTTAGGGCTGTGATCCATTTTGAGTTAATTTTTGCATGTGGTATGAGGAAGGAATTCACTTTTATTCTTTTGCATGTGAATACCCAGCTGTCCTAACACTGTTTATTGAAAAGTCTGTTCTTTCCCTGACTTGACTTGGCACGCTTGTCAAAAATAATTTAACTATAAATTCTGGACTCTCAGTTCTATTCCATTCGTCCATATGTCTATTCCTATACCAGTACCACGTTGTTTGATTACTGTAGTTTTGTAGTAAGTTTTGAAATCAAGAAGTGTGAGTCTTCCAACTTTGTTCTTTTTCAAGATTGTTTTGGCTATCCTGGGTCCCTTGTATTTCCATATGAATTTTAGGATCAACCCATTAAGTTTTGCTCAAAAAGACAGCTGGGACTTATAGGGTTTGTGTCGAATCTGTAGATCAATTTGGAGAGTATTCCCATTTAACAATATCATCTTTCAATCCGTGAACATGGGATGTATTTGGGTCATCTTTAATTTCTGTCATTGATGTTTTAAAGTTTTCAGCCTACAAATCTTTAATGAACTTCTTTCATTAAATTTATTCTAAGTATTTTATTCTTTTTGATGCTATTATGAGTGGAATTGCTTTCTTAATTTCTTTTTCAGTTTGTTTATTGCAAGTGTATAGAAACATAACTGACTTTTATATTGATCTTGTATCCTACAACTTTGATGAATTTGTTTATTTGTTCTAACAATTATTTTGTTGATTCCTTAGGATTTTTAAAATACAAGATCATATCGTCTGCAAATAAAGATAGTTTTACTTCTTCCTTTCTAGAATGAATACCTTCTTTTTCTTCTTCTTGCCTAATTGCCCTGGCTCGAACCTCCAGTACAATGTTGAATAGAAGTAGCACAAATGGGCGTCCTTGTCTTGGTTCTTATCTTAGGGGAAAAGTGTTCATTCTTTCACCATTAAGTATCATGGTAGCTGTAGGTTTTTATAGATGCCCTTTATTGAGTTGAGGAAGTTTCCCTGCCTTCCTAGTTTATTGAGAGTTTTTAACATGAAGACATGTTGGGTGTTGTCAGATGCTTTTACTGTGTTTGTTGAAATGGGATGATTATGTGGTTTTTGCCCTTTATTTGTGTATCTGTTTTGCTGTCTGTTAGAGTTGATTTCATCTTGTTTTACATTTGTTTTTTATTATAGTTTCTTTAAAACTGTTATAAGGAAGACAGGGGAGCCATAAAATCTTTTGTATGTATTTCTGGGTAAGGAATGGATGTTGAATCTGTTTCTCGGTTCTTTATATCTCAGCACAACAGATAAAATCACTGTAGCTTCCAGGTTGAATAGACTGCGTGAGGTTTTTATTTATTTAATCCATGGAGCTGTCATGGCCAGTTTATAGTTTAATTAAGAGAAGCTTCCATCAAATTCAGCACCCAGCATAATGCTGTAGCCCTAAATAGCTCCTAGCAAATATTGACTTGAAACTGAAGAGCCTTGACTTCCTAAAAATCAGCAGCACACAGACACATATAACAAAGAGGCCCTTCCTGGTGTCCACCTTTCTGTCCCCTGCTTTCAAGGCACTTGCCTCTTGGTTTGAGGACTGTGTTGCCCAAGGGGTCCTCCTCAGTCATGAATTTTACTGACTTAAAGTGTCAGGGGGGAAAATATGGTTTAAATGTGATGGTGAAAGGTTTTAGCCTTTTAAAAGAAGAATAATAAAGTTTTTCTCCCTAACAAATTTGAAAATAGAATAAAGTAGAATGAAGAGAAGCAAATCACCCAAAATCCTACCAGAGACTGTTAATTTGTGGTGTTTGTCTTCCTAGAATTTTTCCTTGAATGTTTTCTTCATGACTTTGAGGTCAGGATGTATATACAACTATATGACCCGCTTCCACCCACTTTAACGTTGAAAGATAAGCATTTTCCGCATTATAACAAATTCTAGATAAATACCAACTTTAATGACTGCACGTACTAGAATTTGCTGAACCATTACCCTATTGATGGACATGCAGATGGTCTGTGATTTTTTGCTTTCACAAAAATACTGCTGTTAACAGCCCTTTTTTAGGAGCTGGAGTTGGAATGTGGTTTGCATCAATGTTTGCATTTAAAAGCTAAGTGGTCCACGTGCTCTCTGCAGACTGGAATTGGAGGACATCTAGTGACTCTGGTTATTCTATTAAATTCTCTGTGTGGTAGTCTGTCATCTATGAAGTTAACCAGACAAATTCCCTCACAAAAACAGCATTACCACAGAAATTGACCATAATAAAAATATTTCTAAGCCAGGGATAATGACCCACATTAACATTGAGTTGTTGATTTCATTAGAAGGAAATCCACTTCTGTGAATAGTTCACAATGAAGGCCTTTTCCCCTGTCCTTGTCTGCATGGTGAGCTGTAGCACAAATGCTGTGTTATTCCCACAGCCATAGCCACTAGGGAAAATGAGAACTGTTAACTTGTGACCTAGAAGGTGTTTTGGGTTTTCTTTGCAAATATAAAGAAAAGAAAGTGAAAATTGTCCAAATTAGGTAAGTCTGTCTTTGCTGTTTCAAATTAAGTAAATAGAAACCTAAATCCCCTATGAGAATTTCAAGGATTTCTTTATGTTTTATCATTTTGTGTTCCCTTAGAAGGGGCCTGGATACTTAAGAAAGCCCCATAGTGTAGCTCTGTTTCTTACTGTGAAATTTCCAGCTGGAGAAAACAAATGGGATCCCCATTGCTTACCGTGGTTTCTACTAACCAGTACTCACAGATGGTTGGATGGGGCATAAAGTCCCCCCAGTCAGTAGCACCGAGCCAACTCAGAGCAACTGGCTTAATCCTTTCCCACCTTGCTGCCGTAAGCAGAGCAGATCCAGGTGGAGAGGACCTGAGGGAACTGTGGCTGACAGCTGAGTTAATTGAAGGAAGCAATGCCCCGAAATAGCCGGTTTCCTTGTCCTCTTTGCTTTCATCCTTGCTGTCCTGGGCCTGCCATTCTGTTATGCTCTCTGTCCCCTAGAGTTAACTACCCTTCTGCCGCTCTCGGGCTAGTCTGAACTCTCAGCAGAACCCACCGGGGGCTGCCTGACCTCCTGTGTTTCCATGTCTACCCCCTTCAGCTTTTCTCCTAGCTAAACTCAGATTACTCATGTCCTGGGGTTAGGAAAGCAATTTGATGAATTTGCCTTACTACTCATGTTGAAATGAAAACACAGCCTTTTCAACTTTTTGCCTCATTGGTTTGCATGAGCTTTTACTCTCTTTCTCACAGTCATTTCTTTTGGAGGTTAAAAAAACCCCTACTTTTTTTCCTTTCTGATAATCGGATTAAGAAGGTAGTAACACCTGTATTCTTCGCTTCTGAGTTTCAGAATCAGTGGCAGGGCTGTCTCTCTTTTCTTCTCAGGAAACCTGAGGGAAATCCCATAGCATTGGTATTCTGGAAACTTCCTTAGGTTTGCCTGTTCCTGGATGTTAGGAGTTGGGATAAGGTAAATATTGGGCTCTTATGATCAGATTGACATAAAAGCTATGTAATCCTCTCACCTAAAATTGAGCCATAAAGAGGTTAAAATAAAGAAAAGAACGCAGCCTTTAGCCCCTCTCGCTGCCTAAGGAGTGGGTAGGAGCCACAGATTCCTTCCATGCAAGACATACTTCTTAAAAAAAATAAGTTACTTATTTATACCTAGTATTCAAATAGCGCAATAATAATTATGCCTACAGTCAAAGGCATCCAGCTGACTGACTCTATGGTAAATGTTATTAAATTCTAGCACTAAATTCTCGTTATGTGTTCAGTCTTTATACTTCATATTTTGTTGCTCATATGTAAGCTTATTATCTTACGTCTCAAGAACTTACAGGGAGCACCTCTGCCTTGCAGTGAGTACATGGTACTGTGAGGAGTTAGCGTGGTTTGGGTAGAAACATCTTCTGGCCTTTGGAAGAAGGAAAGGGGTCTTTTATAAAAGTAGATTGGATATCAAGGGAGTGTTGTCAGGAAAGTGTGCAAGACAACGCCAGTCCAGGTAGTTTTTTTAAAGGAACATCCATGCTGCCTCAGCTTCCCCTGGCAAATTGGAACCATGTCTTCAGTGCTCTCACCATGCTTTATAGAAATGTTGTCATTGCTGGCATGTCTGTCTCCTGACTGGATTTCAACCTCTTCACAGCAGGGCCCCTGTCCCCAGCCCCCTGCAGTGAGGCCCCTCACTCCATTGGACCAAAAGTGGTCCCTGATTCTGTCCTGATCCCTCTCATCTCCAAGCTCCGCTGGCCTGGAAGTGAACCATGCGGAACCAGAAACAACCCAGGCTGTACCAGGGTGGGAAATGGGGGTGGCCTTCAGATGAGACTGTGGTGGTCATCAGAGAAGAGGTAAAGAAAAAGCCAGAAGCGAAAGTACTTCTTTAGGAAGAGTTCTATTTGGGTTGTAATCTTGAGATGAGGCTTATTTGGATGTGCCTATAGCACGTGTCTCTGAATAGAAGAAAAGCAGCCTTAGAGCACCTTCTATTTTGTGAGTTTCCAGCCATGTTCCAAGGAGCATGTTTAAATGCCCATTAGAGCACCAAAATGGAATTTAAACAAGGTGTGAAAGAGAATAACGAGGTGGCATGACTTTCTTCCAGGTCCTATATTTAATGCCTCTGTGCATTCGGACACACCATCGGTCATCCGGGGAGATCTGATCAAACTGTTTTGTATCATCACTGTTGAAGGAGCAGCACTGGATCCAGGTACTTCTCTCCATCTTTCTCCTTCCCCGTGTTGCTTTCTGTAAATGTTTCTTATATTAGCCCCGCTATGTTACACGGATGTGGAGGTCAGGCATTGGATTGTCTGTTTATTCCCAAACTACCTAACTTAGTATTTTGTACTCAGTAGGTGTTTATTAAATGCTTGTTGATGGGTGCATCTATCTGTTAGATAATTTGGAAACACATCCAGACATTTGAATCTGAGTTGTCAAGGTGATCAGTGGGCCACTTCGGGCTGATTCAAGCAGGTTTAAAACCCACTGGCAGATCCAGCTCATTCACTTTTTGTCTTTCGTTTATTCATTCAGATATTTATTGAGCTTCTTCCATGTACAGGTGCTCTTCTAGATGCTGAGAATAGAGGAGTGAATGAAATGCTCCACGTCTGTCCTCATGGAGCTTGCAAGCTGGTTAGGGCGACAGACAAGAAGGAGATCACCATATAGTATAATCGCACATAGCGATGAACGCTTTGAAGAAATACAGAGCAAATGAGTAGCAAGTGATCAGGGGGTGTTATTGTAGTGTAAATTCTTAGGAAATCTTTGTAAACTTTTTCTTTGCAGAAAATATTAGCATTGCCGATAGACGCCATCAGTCTTACACCTTTGCTGCTGGGCCCCCTTAGTGACCAGTTGATGTCCCCCTCTCGCTCTTAGACCCTCACAGTTTGAAAGAACATTAAATGCACTTAGGTGTCTCTGTTGCTAAGCAGGTCTGTACCGATGTCTACCTTCTCCTAAAGAGCCCATGGAGAATCTGACTCCCTGTCTGGGTGCTGCCCTTCTCTCTGCAGATTTTGACCTCGGCCATGTTTGTACCACTCACCCCAACGCAAGCAGAGCCATGGCCTCTCACAGGCCAGTTTTGCACCTTGAAAAGGCCAAATGATTGTACAGGGTTTACAAAGTTCTGTGCAGAGACCACTGGCCGTGTGGCCTTGGGCTGAAACTGGAAGCAGGTTTCTATTCCATGTTAAAGGGCAGGTTATAAGCAGAGTGAGGGTGCCCCGTAGTGAAACGAGTGTGAACACCATGAGCAGAGCACTGGGCAGAGCTGGCTGGAGGAGCAGAGGCCTGGATGGCTGCCGCCGGAGGTCTGGCTCCCGCAGGACCTCCAGTTGAAGGTTCAGGTGCTGACCAGTCCAGGTTGGCAAGTATTTTCTGTAAAGGAACCAGGTAGGAATTATTTTTGGCTCTGTGAGCCAGATGGTCTCTGCAGCCACTGCCCTCCTCCGCTGTTGTGGTGCAAAAGCAGCCGAAGAGAATCATGTAAACAAGTGGGCACAGCTGTGCTCCAGGGAAACTATTTACAAATACAGAAGGTGAGCTGCTTTGGTCTACAGGCTATCGTTTGCTGACCCCTGGATTAGTTGATCGCTTCCAAAATGGACTCTCTTAGGGAACCTGAACGTGGTTGAACTGTAGAGGTAGGAAAAAGGAGAACAGTTTGTGGAAGATGTAAGAAAAGGAAAAGAAATGCACCCAAACCAACAAAGTGGTTAGCTCTGTTCACAGGGTGAGGAGGAAGGAACCCAGCTCTTGAATGAGCCGCGGCGACCATGCCTGAGGCGCAGAGGACGGAGGTCACACAGTAGGCTTCAGAAGGGAAAATGAAGGTAATGGTAGAAGAGATTTGCCAGGGAAAGGGGAGAGAAAGCCTTTCCAAAAGTTGAAGTAGTGCAATGCCATTTTTACCCTTAAAGCTCATTTATGGATATGTACAAAAATAAATCATTTAAATGCTCTTTCTCAGTAAATTAATGGGTCACCAGTTGTGCCCTTAGTATAAAAGTCTTTTCCTCCAGCGCAATTGCAAAAGCTATAGGTGGCTGTTATCTTGCAGATCACAGTTTCCCAGAACTTTGCACTCTTGGACTGTGTGGGTGGAAGATTCTGAATAATTAAACACAAGCTGTAATTTAGTTTTTCCTCACACATCCTATGGGCTCTGGAGGAATTCTCTTTTGGAAAGGACATGTTGCCTGAGTGGGCTGAGTGCCAAGGCCCTCCTGTAGGAGGAGGGATGGGGCAGACCATGACCCTTCAGAAGTGGTGTCTTAGGTCTGGTTCCCTAGAAGCAAAGCCTGAGACGAGTGTGCGAGTAATTAATTGAGGATGTGCTCTCAGGAGAAAACTATGAGGGAATCGAGATAGAAAGAAGCCATGCAGAAATGTGAATTCAAAACAATTCAAACTCCCCATGGGGAGCTCTGGAGCGTGGGTTGTACCACAGAGTGTGGCCTCCTTGAGGTAAGGGACTAGGCTTTTACACCTCCCCTTTAGTCAGTCATTGTCCACAGGCTAAATGGCTGGGGAGTGAGGGTGTTTCTTAAGTTCTAGGAGGCCTTTCCAGGAGGTGGCTTCTGTCAGTTCAGGCCAGCTCTGGAGGAGGGTACAGGTGTGAGAGCTTTAGCAGCCAACACCTGCAGCAGCTGGGGGCCCAGCGCACCAGCAGGTCTGGGCAGGGCACCAAGAGCCCCTGCTGCAGGCAGTAATGCCCTTCCTGCTCGCAGCTGCTGTTTGTAGAGCACATGTGTGTTGAACTGTGGAAATAAGAAGGTTCGTGGCAGCCAACCTTTATTGAGCACGTACTGCATTCCAAGTGCTGTTCTAAGCGTTTTATATAAAGATAACTTATTTACCCAGGGGTGCTATTGTAATTTCCTTTTACAGATGAGGAAACGAAGTCACCATGAACTTAGTGACTCACCCAGGTCACATGGCTAACAAGTGCTGGTGCAGGGATTCCAGCTCGGGTCGCCTGGCCCTGCAGCCTGGCCACCACGCCAGAAGGCATGGCGCGACTGGCGTTAGAGTCTGGGCACAAGTAACGGGGCACAGTTTTGACTTTCTTCCTTCAATCACCACCCAGCACCTGCAGATGACAATAGCACTGAGCTGGAATTGTCACTAAATACATGAGTGTGCTCCGGCCCACTCTGGCAGCCCGTGAGGGTGTGAGGATGGCTACGGCGCTCCCTCGGCCCACCGGGGGTTAGTCTTGGCGAGTGGTGACCTACGTGCTGGGAATAATCAAATTTTATGCTCAAGTGCCACAGTGGGTTGATGGGGAGAAAAAGAAGATATTTTGAGCATCAGAGTAGAGAGCTGTCATCCTGTAGGTAGAGTTGAGATTTGCCTGTGGCCCTTAACGTGAGTTGAAAAAGAATTATCATTTGGATGATTCTGTAGAAATTCTTGCTTTTAGTTTTGCTTACATTCTTTTTTAATATATAAGCATCTGAATATAATTTATTTGCCTAATAATGTGCTTTCAGAGGTTATTAGTATATTTTTGCTGAATGGATTAGTTCCTTTTTGTTTAACAGAAATTGTGTTAACATTTATCCAGAAAGCCTTGTCAAGTGAATTTAAGATAAAACAGTGTCTGTGGTCTCCGGTCCCTTCTCTCCTGCTGGGTAGATCTCAGACCTGACACAGCTGCTCTCGGTTGGTAACAGTCAAGGAAGAAGTCAAGGGCTTATGATGTGGGCTCTGTTTCCACATTCTATGAGAATTGTGCCACTTGTGCCAAAGTCCTCTTTCTCTTCTGCCCGTATTAATTTATTTGAGGCTGTTAGAACCTTAATTTTGCAGAGTACTTTACGATTTAGCACCATGACTCTCTGGGACTGTTAAACTGTTCAATTTTCTCAGCTTGACACTTTTTTCCTCTTGTTTTGAACGTAAGCACTTCTGCAGGGGAGGAAAAAACGCAGCGAACAATAAGATCTAAACTGTTTACAATTCTAAATTGTGTACAATTCACTCTGTGTACATTTTTTTCCTTATGACTTTAGTGCCCTTCCAGTCTCGGGTTCTTCTACCTGAAATGTCAAAGGACCCTGCTTTCTTTGAGAGGGAGGGCATGCGAGGTCACCACGTCCCAGCTTTTTGTCTCGTGTTCTCTGTAGGAGACAGTGTTGGGGTCTGACGTTTCTTCCTAGGCTCCTTAGGTTGGGTGGTGGCAGGGATGTGGTTAAGATGTTGAACTCTGGAGCTAGACTCCCTGGGTTAAGCCGCATGCTCTGGTACCACCTGGCTGTGTGACCTTGAACAAGGTATTTCGTCCTGCCATAGAGTAGGGAGTGTGACAGTCCCTTTATCACAGGGCTGTTGTGAGGATTCAGTGAGACCTGGGGTGTGTGGAGCAGTGCTGGCCCATAGTCAGGTTACACACATCTTAGCTGTGCGTGGTATTTCTGCCCATTGCACTGACCCCAGCATTTTGGCTTGGTGACCATAGATGACATGGCCTTTGATGTATCCTGGTTTGCGGTACACTCCTTTGGCCTCGACAAGGCTCCCGTCCTCCTGTCTTCCCTGGATCGGAAGGGGATTGTGAACACGGCCCGGAGGGACTGGAAGAGCGACCTCAGCCTGGAGCGCGTGAGCGTGCTGGAATTCTTGCTGCAGGTGCACGGCTCCGAGGACCAGGACTTTGGCAACTACTACTGCTCCGTGACTCCGTGGGTGAAGTCACCAACAGGTTCCTGGCAGAAGGAGGCAGAGATCCACTCCAAACCCATCTTTATAACTGTGAAGATGGATGGTGAGAATGACACGCAAATAATTCTCAGTGTTTGGGGAATGTCTTCTCTCTGTGCTCTGCCGTGGCTAACAGAATCCAGTTTTCCACCATTTGAGGAATGTGCCACAATGTGCCTGCTTTCTCTCTAGACCTGGCCAGAGCTTGTACCCAAAAGGAGCACAAATCACCCTTGTCATTTCTCAGCTTTGGTATCATGTGCTGGAGGCACCTTTGGGAAATTAGTTTTAAGACCCACTGGAAAGATTTTTGATGCCTCGTCTCTTCTGTAAATTCTATACAAAGCTGCTTTACTGTGTTCCGGGGTTGGCATGGGTCTGCCAGGCAGAGGCAGAGAGCAGTGTGGAGTGTGAGCTTAGGTGTGCAGGCGAGGCTGTGGGTGGGGCCCTGCGCCTCCTGCCCTCCTATTATAGGTTTTCATTTTGGAAAAGGGAGGCTCCTCCCGGTGTCACTACCATGGAGAAGGGTTCTTCACAGAACCCCAAGATGGAAGGGGGAGCTCCCAGCCTCGTTGGCCCACACTGACCACTGTGGTCGACCTAACTGTGTGGTCAGACGGCCCCCCTTTCACCCCTGCTCCCTGAGCATCCAGAGTGAGGGCACTTGTTCTTTGGTTAACAAGAAACATGTCTTCTCTGCAAAAAAGCTTCAGAGTAAACGTTAGTTGCAAAAACTCCGTGGAGAGAATTACAGTTCAGCTCTGAGCAGTAGCGGGAGCCTTTGAGTGTCTTTCCCTCGTGACATGTCAGGTTGGGGTAGACTGGAATTGCAACCTCAGCTCTTCCACAGCTGACAGCCTTTCTGATCCTTCGTTTCCTGTCCTGCAAAATGGGATAATAATCTCTCCCAGCGCTGTTGTGAAAATTAAGCCATATTAAATGTCAGGCACCTACCAGGGTGCCAGCGTCCCCCCAAGGAGTGTTGGTACTCATGGGGCCAGGAACATGGAATTGAGGGGTGTGGGATCCAAACAGTGTTTGTGCATTCCTGACACTTAGCCATTTATACCATTTTTGCATCTTAGAAATTCCTTGCTTAAAGTAACTCCGTATGAAAACGCAGATTTACCAAACAAGTGAGGGAGTGATTATTCACTTTGCTAGATAATTTACTATAGTGTTACTTAAAATAGCTCCCCTAGTACATTTCAGCTATTTGACGCATAGAATTGATTTATGCACAGTTTTTTTAAGGATGCGTCTGCTGCTGAATGTGTGGTGCCCTTATACTGACTTTTAAAAATCAATCTCCTGCCAAAACCCTAAAAAGCAAATTGACATTCAGAGACATCGAATGAAATCTTTTTTTGTTTCCTCTTCCCCAAGAACTGGGTGGGGATATATTTGCTCATATTTTTGGACAGATACGGCTGAGTGCTCCTGTCTCTGGGGCTGTGCAGGGTGCTGGATGCAGGACAAATGGGATCCAGTCCCTCGGCCGACCCTGATCTGGTGGGGAGGGGAGGCAGGTCTTCCCTCCCATGGCTCATGCGGCTTCCCTTTGATCTCTCCCCCTCAGTGCTGAATGCCTTCAAGTACCCGCTGCTGATCGGCGTCGGCCTGTCCACTGTCATCGGGCTCCTGTCCTGCCTCATCGGGTACTGCAGCTCCCACTGGTGTTGTAAGAAGGAGGTCCAGGAGACGAGGCGCGAGCGCCGCCGGCTCATGTCCATGGAGATGGACTAGGTTGGGGCCCAGGGAAAGCAGCGACAAAGGGACGGTCTAGGAGCAATTTGGGCAAGAAGAGGACAGTGATATTTTAACGTGAAGTGCGTCACACTAAAAACCAGTCCTCTCTAATCTCAGGTGGGATTTGGCGCTCTCTCTTTTCTGCATGTCAAGTTCCGAGCGCGGACACGTTTACCAGCACACAGCCCTTCCTCCCACGGCACTTTCTGATAGAACAATCGAGTGTGTGTTTTTCCAACTGCGGCTTTTTCATGGTTAACCTTTGTCTAATTTTTTTCTCCTGGTTTATAGCTCTCCGACACGCGTGTGTGTCTCTCTTTCATTTCGAGGGGTTGCGGTGAGGAAGGGGCAATGGCATTCAGAGTTCTTTGTCTCAGGCGAGGACGGAACCGCCCGCTTGAGAGCCGGCTTGGCTTCTGTGTTGGAGGCATGACCCTCTACCCTGGCTTAGCGACAACACGGACCTGTGCCAAAGGCTAATTTGTGGCTTTTTACTACCCTACCCCACCCCCTATTTTCAGGGGTTTAGACTACATTTGAAATCTAAACTTGGCAGTAGTTAAGTTCTTATGGAGCCCAGATCATTGCTTTGTTTCTTGCTTCTCTGCCCCATTTCCATTTCTTTGCATTTGCTTTATGTAAGAGTGCTGAAATGGCGGCCCTGGAGTCTAGAGTTTGGCTCTCCACCGAGCACCTTATCTTGCCACCTTAGCCTTAAGAATGAGTATGAAGAAAAAAACACAGTCACCTCTGTCCAGGGCAGTAAGAAGGCCTGCAAGGAAGAGGAGGTTGGGGACAAGGAAAGGAACAGACACTCACTCCAAAGGTTCTGAGGCCGCTGTGCCTCAGAGGGCCCCAGGGAGAGCAGACGAGGGATCCTCAGTGTTAGATTTCTGCAGCTCATGCCAGGAGGGTCAGTGGTGCCAGGGGGGTGTCAGACGGAAGAAGCCACCTCCATTCCCCTCTCCTGCCCTTTGCAGGAGGCAAGGGTCTTGACCACCAAGGGACTGCCATGGGGACCCACAGATAACCCACGTCCTTCACGGACTGCTTGAGCTCCTTACCATGAAGGCGAATTGCTGCTTGCAAGACTGACTGATTTCACGGAATCAGAAATTGCCTGGAAGAACCACACATTTTCTCTGACCTTTTCAGTCCTTCAAGTCTTTCTGAGCTCCCAGGCAGGGGGTGAGTGAGAAAGGGTATACTTTGTGGTGTGTTTGCTTTCCTGTTAGGAATGCAAAGGAAACCCAGTGGTTTATTGCCAAGTAAAGAGTCTACAAAGCAGATCCAAGAGCAGTAGGTCTTGCCCAGTGGCACATCCCGGGAGTAGGACAGTGGACCAACCCGGATCTTCCGCTCCCTGGAGGGTCTCGCCCCCTGCACGGCACTGGCCTTTCGGAAGCATCGCAGTGGGGTTTTCTGAGGCTCGCTGGTGACTCATGCCCTCCATTGCAATCCTCTGTGCTTTTATCCTGGCTCTGAAGGACCTAACACTGCTCTGTCTTCCAAAGGGGAAAAAAGATTCGTTTGTTTTGAGCAATAAAGTAATACAAAATGATGGCCATTCATGTGCGGCTCTTTGTCACAATGGGCCGGATGAGCTGTACTCCTCCTGGCTCACCATCCTCCCCTCCGCTTCCCTCACTCTGCTGCCCATGTTCCTTCTGCATTTGTCACTGAGTCGCCCCCAGGAGGCAGATTTCCACCAAGTTTCCCCTTTTTGTTCTACTCACTGAGGTGACTACTCATGTGATAGAAATTCTAGATTCTGCACTCGTGGTAGCAGCACAGATGAATCCCAGGCCTGGGGTCGTGGCGGGAAGACCGGCTGCAGTATATCCCACCAGAGCATGAGTGACTGGAGGAAGAGGAGGAGGCCTTGATAGCACTAGATTTGGGTATTTTCTACATGTCGTTTCCTAACTGCTATTTCAGAGGAGGCGGGTCACAGGTGACTGTACAAATGGGCATGAAAGAGAGAACATGTATGAACAGGTGTTGTGTCAGTAACAGCCAGTGTCCTCTGAGCCCTTGCAGTATCACACTTACTAAAAGAAGACTCAGGACTGTTGTAGCACAGGCCCTTCTTGGTAGGAGGAAAGGGTACTTAGCCTTGGATGTGACCAGGTAGGCCAGGTGTATGTAGAACCACGGATGGGTCACATCAGACTCTCAGTAGTGGTAAAGGTGATGTATGCTCACACAGTGTACCTTTTCCTTTCAAACTGCTGTTACAGTTCAAGGCTGGAATTGTTAAGGCATTGACCCCAACCCCACCTCTGTCCATTGGGCTGGCCAAAGTCGCCTGGGGGCTGGTACGAAGCAGGGAGAAACCCAAGGGTGTTGTACCAAGGACCTTGTTCCTTCCAGGGACAAAAACTTGCCTGGAATGTGTGTCCTTTTAAAAGTGAGAGATGCTCTCTTGTTGTACCAAACAGGGCTCCCCACAGTTGCTCCTCTGGAAGAGGGTCCTGCCAGGAGCACTGGTGTGAATGGAAGAAGGACCTAGCCACGATTCACACAGATGAAACTGCACTTCTTAACAAAAAGAAACTTGATAAAAAGTTTGGGTTTTTTCCTAATCCTAAAAATACCCCCAGAAAGAGCCTAAGCTATGTTCAGATAGAAGCCTCGAAATTACTTTAAATTGTTTACTTTATAATGTTTACATACACTTTCACTTTTTAAAAAGAAAAAGAAAAAATGCAAACTGACTTTTTAACAGCTTTGAAGATTTTTCATGGGATGGTGGAACTCTGACTCACCAACGGGATTTAAATCCTCATTTAGAAATGTATTTATTTGTGTGTTTCCCCTCCCATCCACCTGGCTTTCCCTAAGATCCTGGTAAAGGAGGCCCCTCCTGCCCAGACCCTTGTCTCTTTCCCCAGAGGCTCTTGCTTCTTGCTTTGCAGACTGCCTGCAGCCATGATTTTGTCACTGACATCTGTGAGCCAAAGACTGAGCCTTTTTGGCAGGAATAATAAGCAATACTACACAACTTGCTACTTTCAGAAAACTTTTTTTAGCTTCACCGATGACAACAGAGGAAGAAGGGACCTGGGATTCCGGTAAGTTCTTCTCCACTGTTTGACCAAATTCTCAGTGATGAATATTGTGTGCAGATCACTAGGAGAAAAAAGTTGACTGACTTTCTTTTTTAGCGTGGCACATAAGGATCTGCCGAATTTTACGTAGACAAAGAAAGGGTCTTGTGTATTTTTGTCCATATCCAATGTTATATGAACTAATTGTATTGTTTTATACTGTGACCACAAATATTATGCAACGCACCATTTGTTTTTTATTTCATTAAAGGAAGTTTAATTTAAATTGAAGTTGTGTGAGGAACTTGGTGTTGGCCTCTGTCTTTCATCCTCTGCATGAGGGATCGTGGCTGAATTCCAGTTGCAACTTTAACACTTTAACCCCGTCTGGTCTCTTTGAATCCTATGAAAGCATTGTAGATTTTCACTAAAGATAAAAGAAGAAACGGATTTCACGGGATCCGTATTGAGATTCCCACCAAGCGGAAAGGTGAGGGCTGGGGGCCTGTTGCTTACAGAAGGTCGCTTGGTCTTTCGGTGAATTCTCATGACCTTACAGGTCTCCTGTCAGGAAAGAGAAGTTAGATGTTGTTCCTCTCTGCAGATGAGGAAACAAACACCAGAGTTCTGTGACCATATCGTGACTGGAACAGAACGGCTTTTCTGACTCATGACCCGCTCTGGAGCCAAACCAGTCCAGAAGGTGCTAGCACCTGTAATGTCAAAACAATGTTCTTCCCCAGGCCACTGGGTTCAGGAGCCTGGACAGGAGGGAGCGCCAGGAGCCCTGACGCCCTGCTGGCCCCTGGAGCAGCCGCCCGGCCTTGGCTGACCTGCCCCACAGATGCTGCTCTGGGCCTTATTTGTGTCCAGGGACCACCTTGTGTAGTGAGGTCATCAGGAGCTGGGTCTGTGTCCTGGTACTAAACTTGCCCAGGGAACGATGCTGTTGCAGGCATGCAGAAGGTACTGGCAGTTTATAAATGCACAGTTAACGCTCTACTGTGGGAAATGGCCCATCACTGCACGCTTCTCTGTGAACCAGAGGATTGTGCTTATATCAAAACGCTGATGCAGTCAGAGCTGGTCTTCAGCAGTCCCCTACCTATTAGTGAACCTGTCCCTGCCTCAGTTTAAATTAAGAACAAAACAAAAGCCTGCTTGCACACCTACTGTGTGCCTAGGCACTGTGCTAAGCACTGTGAACCTGACACTTACTTACTTGCCCTCAGGCCTGGACACATACTTTCTTGCCTGGAAACCTCTCCCCTGCTGTCTAACTCGTACTTCTTCAGGTCCCAGGGAGCCTTTTCTGCCTCACTAGGCTGGTGAGGACCCCTGACAGATGCTCTGGTAGTCTGAAAGTGGTGTGAGGGCAGGGTCCGTTCACCTCTGTGGCTCTAGTGCCTAACTGTGATAACAGCTGAGACTGGGGTTCTTAGGATGTGCCATGCACCAGGACAAGTGCCTCAAGCCCCCTGGAGATGGCTACAGCAGAAGCTGTCTTACCTGCTCTCCATGCAACTGGATCTTCCAAATAAAAGCCGCTCCGTATCCTGTAACCCACAGACCACTGTGCATGGCACCCCATTTTAAAATAGAGGTTTTGTTGTTATTTAGGTATGGCAGAGCAAACAGATCAGGAGGTGACTGCCCTTGGAAAGACTGTTATACTCACAGATCCCAAAAGGAGGGGGCATATCACACCACGTCATGGGACGGGGGGGTGGGGTGACACAGGAAAGTGCCAGGGCCTGTCAGGAGGCGGAGGGAGTGAAGGAGAAACATAGGCAACAGCCTTTATTGTGGTTTTCACAGGAAGGAACAGGTAAGTCAGGGTATACAGGCTTAGGATTGACTGCTTTGGATAATGTCAGTGGGCTCTGGAGCACAGGCATAGGGGTTGTCCCTAGTAATCTGGTACCTGGCCCTGGGGTGATAAGAGCTGGGAACAGTGGTGCAGAGTGTGAGAGCCCAGTGGAGGAGATGGTTGGGGTATGGGCTCTGCATTGGCTGGTTTGCACATGGAAGGCAGCTCCCAGATGAATCCAGTCATTTCCTTTCTCTAGGAACTGGCTAGCCCTGGGAGGGGCCATCTCTCCAGGGTCAGCAAAGCCACAGATGTCAAAGTAGCAAAAAATAGAAAAGAAAATGACGAGATTAACTCCCTTATCATTTGGGGCTTGTAGACTGCTCAGTACACCTGGGAGGTGATGCTCCTGAGTCCCCCCTGTTCTATTTATTCTGAAATGTGTTTGCACTACCAGTACTCGTTACTATGATTACATAAAATCATTGAATAGTATGTAAGCCAATGAAATCTCAGCACAAAAGAGGTGTTGATAAAAGTAAGATGAACTATCTGGAAAGACTCAATAGAGGCAAATTGCTTTTCTAAAAAGCTATCACTTTAGGTCCAGGCAAAAGAACCGAAGGGGCCAGCCCCATGACTGAGTGGTTAAGTTCACATGCTGTGCTTCAGTGGCCCAGGGTTCACCGGTTCAAAGCCTGGGCACAGACCTACACACTGCTCATCAAGCCATGCTGTGGCAATGTCCCACATACAAAATAGAGGAAGATTGGCACAGATGTTAGCTCAAGGCCACCCTTCCTCACAAAAAAATAAATAAAAATTAAAAAATGGTAAAGTAAACGAGGGCCTGGCCTGGTGGCATAGTGGTTAAGGTCACGCACTCTGTTTTGGTGGCCTGGGGTTCACCGGTTCGGATCCTGGGCACGGACCTACACACTGCTCATCAAGCCATGCTGTGGTGACATCCCACATAGAAGAACCAGAAGGACTTACAACTAGTATATACAACTATGTACTGGGGCTTTGGGGAGAAAAAGAAGAAAAAGGAAAAAAGAAGGAAAGAGGAAGAATAGCAACAGATGTTAGCTCAGGGCCAATCTTCCTTACCAAAAAAGAAAAAAACATACCTTAAAAAAATGTAAAATGTTGAGAGGAGACAAATCACAAAAACAAATCACAAAAAAATGGCCCAGTGGCGCAGTGGTTAAATTCACACGTTCGGTGGCCTGGGGTTTGCCAGTTCAGATCCTGGGTGTGGATATGGCACTGCTTGGCAAGCCATGCTGTGGTAGGCGTCTCACATATAAAGATGGGCACGGATGTTAGCTCAGGGCCAATCTTCCTCAGCAAAAAGAGGAGGATTGGCAGCAGATGTTAGGGCTAATCTTCCTCAAAAAAAAAAAAGAAAAAAGGATTCTTTGCTCCATTGGCTTCACAAAAGTTTTTTTTTTTCTTTTAACTTTAAAGGAATCAAAGCCTGAAAGATGTAGACAAGACATTACAGGTTTGGTTTATGCAAAAACGTGATAGGAGACTCTAGACAACAGACCCATACTCAGAGGAAAGACCTGGGCTTGTGTCAAGAGATTGGTGAATGAATATACATATATATATGGTTGAGGTGAAAATAAAAATTTTAAGACATATAGGAGTCTTTTTATGATTCTCAACCCGACCTGACATTTTCTGTTAATCGATCAACTAACAACCCTAAGTGTGTCAGATAATGAAGTTTCTATTGTTATTGTCCTCATTCTTATAGATGAGAAAATTGAGATTTTAAGAAATTAAGTAATGTGCTCAAGATTGGAGCCCAGATCTGACATCTAACTCTGAGTCTGTGCATGTTCTCTGAATCACTGCACCAGCCACAGCGCCTGATAGTTTAGGCGTTCAGTAAGTACTTGTTGAATAAGAGAAAGATGAGTAAGAACTGGACCCTGCCTTCGTGAAATTCATGGTCTTGGATGAGAGGGAGGCATGTAAGTAATTCATTTCATTACTGTATAATAAGTAAAATTATAGAAGTTCACTGCCATAGCCCAGAATAGGGAGTGGTGAACTCTAAGTTATCAAGAAAGATTTCACATAGGAAATGCAAACTTAGATTTTAAAATTTTTAAATGAATAGACATTTCCCAGGTAGGGATGGGGCAAGGTTTTAAGCAGAGGGGATGCATCTGCAAAACTCTGATCAGGAGAGTGCATGGCTATGCTTCCATTTTAGATTCCTCTGGCAGCAGGGGACGTGGGGGCACAGGCAAGGCTGGAAGCTGAACTGTGTTAGTCCAGGGGAAAAATCATGCTCAATTGTGACAGCGACAGGTAGAATGAATTCATGACAGATTTTAGGAACAACTGATAGGACTTTGTAACTGGATGTGAAGTGTGGAGGCCAACCATGGGTCTGGGTGGATACTGGTACATTCAACACGACGGACAATACCAGTGAAAGAGAAAACAATGATAGCCGTTTTAGACTCAAGTTTGAGTTTCCTGCGGGACCCTCAAGTGATGATGTTCAACACCAGCTAGATAATTGGTCTGGAGCTTAAGGGAGAAGTTGGGGCTGGAGATACATTTGTGATTGTCAGTATACAGATGAGGGATGAGGGGCCAGCAGCATAAGGAGTGAAAAGGGCTGACGCTAGAACCTTGGAGAAGACAATAGTGTCAGGGGGGCCTGGAGAAGAGGATACAGTGAGAAGGAACTTCCAAAAGGGGTGAGGGAAAATCCTGGGGAGAGGGTGGAATCAGAAGAGGAAGGAGAGATGTCCAAGCAGGTTTGACCAATGGCCAGCCATCCCTGGGGCCACAGAAAGACCCAGTCAGTGGAGAGCTGAGCAGGGTTCGCTGTTGTGACCCTGGACATTTGGGTGGAACCACACCAGATTGCAGTGGGCTGAAGCGCCAGGAAGTTAGGAAATCAGACAGACTACAGAACACTGGGAAATTCTGGCAGGAATTTGAAAAAGGGAGGGAAGAGGAGGTGGTTTGGAGTTAGGGTAAAAGGGTGGATGTCTAGTAGGGTAGGAGACCCCTGAGGTTCTTTATGGACTGGTAAGCCGTGAGTGGGCACCTGTGTCTAAGGAGATAGGAGGGATCTAGAGCCCAGGTAAAGAGAGCTTCCTTTCCTTCTCCTCTTTTCTGCCTCTCTTTGGTGCCTATTCTGAGCCTCCTCCCCTCCCCTTCCCCCTTTTTTTTAATCAGAGCTGGTTGTCAATCCCTGCTAGGAAATTTAAGGAATAGCCCTTTCCATGAGAGTATCTGGAAACAGCAGATGGCTTAGGAATCCATCTGTTGCTCTTTCTCTTCTGCTACCATCCCCTATTCTCCATCTCCTACCCCCTACCCCATCCCATGGCCTGGCCTTTGTCTCTGCCCCGAGGAATCTAGTTCAGGCTTTTACCCACAGATAGGAGGAGTTGTCACCCACCTTGAAAAGCTCTTCAGGCTTGGTTAACTAATTGTCA